TTTTTTTTTAACATTGAAAGCTATTTTTATTTACTTAATATGAGCACATTTTACTTTTGAAATATCCTACTGCAGTGCTACTATTGAGAAGTCTATGGAAAAGTCTGATAAGTTACTTAAGGTAAGTAACAATTGTTGACTCCTTACGATATTCCTGATTTTTCTCATGTAGGGATATTTATCTATTATAAGGGAATTACTGTCCAGAAAAATATACTAGGTACCGGTATCTATTTATGTCAAAACACTGTTAGCGTTATTAACAAGATGCGCTTAAAAATAACTTTTTTAAAATTGACTACAAGTTAAGTCAGTTTCAACACTTTTAGAAGATTTCTTTTATTCCCGGAAAAGCTTGAAAAAATACTGCAAATGTCGCGGGAATTATTTTTGAGAAAAGCTGAATGACGAAAATTACATCTCAATATGTTGATTCGTTTTAACACAGAACATTTTTTTTTTATTTTAGGTATTTTCTATATGATGCCCTATAATTACTTATTTTTGAAAATGTTTGACTTTTCTAATGAGATTGTTATATGTATTTAATTTTTTTGTGTAGATTCCAGTGACTTGCGCAAACTTGTAAAAACAATTTAATAACATCCTATAGTTCGAATGATGTATTGTACGTGATAGGTATACAAAAAATTATGTTCAAGTTATAAATACCAACAATTTTTTGTGTAATCCGTGACGACACAATGAATTTGGTAGGTATGTATATGATAAAATAGTTGAATTATACAAAAAGGCACTAGATACTTCACCTGTAGAACAAACGTTTTTCTAACGTATAAATATTTTCTTAATTGAAAAGTTACAGGGCTATAATAAAAAACGGCATAAACATTGAAAAACATCCTGTAGGTTTTGTAGCTATTTTTATTAAGAACAAAATCATGCCCTAAGCATTTTTTCGTACAAAGTACAAGCTGAATTATTTAAAGAAAACTACTAAAAAAAATTTTTCCACGGTTAAATTGTTAATAACTTTTTTCCTGATAAAATACTTTGTCAGCAAATTAGCTTGTTATTGCACTCATCATTTAAAGTAATCCTGTTATTTCCGAGTTGTCAAAGAAATGTCATCAACAGTAACTTTTCGGCCTCTGCCGGCTGGACTATAGGGACTATGATACATGGACGAGTATGAGAGTGCCTGATTCAATTGCTCTCACTATTGGTCAGATTAAAACATTTGGTATATGAATCATTAGAAGGCAATAAATATAGTTGCGGTTTTTAGTCACCCATAATGACAACTTTTGTTTAGTTGGGAATATCAGAAGCTCAAATTGAAGAGACCACTTCCTTCTTAACTTTCACAATTTAATTGGTATAATGATATCTACATTTTCCCACAGTTCTTTGGCGGTCTGACTTTATTTTTATTGGTTTCACACGTTTGGCAGATTTTAATATATGTACAGTGAGTCCTTACTTTTTGCCACTTCTTGAATATCAAGTTTTCCAGAACGCTAATAAATTATGATTTTGACAAATTTGACATTTCATATCAATTTTTTAACAAAAATAAGTTTGCTTCAAATTCACCGTTTCGATGTTTCGGTGCACAGTTGGGAGAATCAGTATAATATCCGCGAATCTCTATTCATTAATGTCTATTATATTCAAAGAGAAATCTTTTCATGCGCAATTAAAGAGGATGATATATTATTTTACGAATTCTGTCTTTCTACAAATGAAAATTGAAAATGTACTTACAACGCCGGTATTGGGATCCTTGGCACCATTGCTGAAAGTTGACGCCAGAGTCGAGGAACAGCTTTCGTCATAGTGTGCGTTCTGTCCGTCATTAATGGCGCTGTTTATGCTTATCGTCCACATGCTGGCCGCGTACCCATCGCAGTTGCAGTCGTCGTCCTCTCCGCCGTCACCGCTCGCCCATACGTAGATGTTCCCCAGGCCGTTGCGCCCCTGCGATTGAAATTAAAAGTTCAGCGCTCTATTGGGAAACGAGGTTTACACTCGTAATAATTCAAACTTGCAGGAAAATATAAAAATTTATGTAGTACAATAATAATGGGCCATACCTACAGATGAACAAAAAATTTTCCAACCGTGAAAATAAGACACGCAGAAGTGTTAAACAATTCGTAAATTTTAGAATAGGGAGTATTTTCATAAGTACTCCAGGTTTTAGTTTTGAATTTATTTTAAGCGAAATGTTTATTATGAAGATAGGCTGAAGATAGGAAGATAGGATGAGGATAGGATAGGGGATTTATCTAATTAGGAGAAAAAGAAAATGACTTAAATATGTTAATCAGTGGAGTAGATACGAGGGATCAGTACCTAAAAGCAGAACTTTGCCGCTACATGAAAAATACTTCTACCAGACTTCTAGATGGATGTATATAAAAATTGAATTGAACCATAAATATTTGCTAGGAGGGTACATTTTTCTTTCAAAGGACAACCTATAAGATATTTTATGATCATACTTTCCTCATTTAACCCATCAAATATATTACTTTAAAGGCATTTTCACTCTCTGTCAATGGTGTATCTAATGTTTTCATGCGTCATAGTATTTTTTATTATTAATATTTGCGTTCAGTGTGCATATACTACATGTCTGGTCCAAAACGATTTTTAATTATTTTGACCGAAATATTTTACATAAGGGGTTTACTCTGAAGCCGTCAATCGGAACATTACATGTCATAAGTCACAAGAAGAACCTAAGAATAACATACGGAGGACTCAAGTGGAAAAAATTATGGTTAACTGTAGACGAAACCACAGGCTGGAATAATAAAGTAAATATGTTGCGGTTCAGTCAGAACTTAAAGGCGCATTCTAGAGATGAAATTACGTTATTTCAACCCCCTTTTGTTTTTGTGTTGCTTAGTTTTCGAGATATAAGTACTCCAAGTAAATTTTAAAATTTACCTACTGATTTTACCTAACGGAGACTGGAACAGTAATGAAAAAAATACCTTACGTGGGGTGGCATGTGGGAGGATTGTAAAAGCTTGACTGCACCTCTGAATTAATAATTTAAAATATTTTTTTTCTTGAAATCAAAAGCAATATGCGTTTTAGACAGTGGTACAGGGGGGGGACTTGAAATAGTAAAAAAAGTAATTTAAAATTTAGTTTACAATGTTATCTGGGTAATTAAATAGATTAGCATTATGAAACACATTAAAAAGGAAATGTTAACTACTATGCATTCAATTTAACTCAACTTGCAAAATTCGTTTCAAAAATTCTGAATACATTGGCTCTGCGTAGCTCGCTTCTACATCTGTAAAGTGTTTACAGCGGTGGTCACGGTTATCGTCGCGCAGCAGTGAAAGACGGACTGGTAGTAGCGCATATTTACTATGTAGTTTGGGCTCTGTTAAACATAATTTGTTCAGGTGTGGTGTAAAATTTTATTACGTATTGCTTCCTGTGTGCTTTTTAAAAGATTGTAATAGTTTAAATTGATTGTAAAGACACACTAACAGCACATGCAATTCAATCTATTGAAAAATCAATGGTGCGAGAAATACCAAACTTTAATGGAAAAGTAATTGAAAAGTTTATTTCGGACAAAAGCAGAAGAATGGATTTTCAATATAAAAAATATTGTTGAACACATTTTCCCTATATTTCAATAGTGGTTAAAATAAAACTACCCAATTATGTTTAATTTTTTTTCAATACTTTGTATCTACATTTTTCTACCCTTCCTGGTATAGAAGTTAAGAGCCGTCACTGATTTTAAATATATCAGAATATGTGTAAAATGTGAAAAGGAATAAACAGATGTCAAATTATCAGAAAAAAAAAATGATTTTCACTCTCCAAAACTAAGCAATATTGCATATAGGCAAATTGTGGTTAAAAAATGTCATTCATTTTTAAAATACACTTATAAGTTTTATCCGCATCCTAATGATGAAAATTTTAAGATAAACCTTTATTTTTGATTTTTGATTGTGGCTTAGTCCATAAGATTGCAATTATATTTTAATATTATAAAGAATATAAAATGTCAAAACTAGCTTTGTGTTCCCAACTAGTAGCATTGAGTATAAGGTGGTTTGATTCACTTTGCAGTTGATAGATATCAATTTAACGGCTTGAATTCTGAATTAAAACAAAAATCACATTTTTTGGGTCAGTTCACTAAAACGCTCACAGCCTAATTTATATCTTTAAGTACGTAAGTAAGGGGGGTAATATTTAGTGAAGACAATGATTATACGAGTAGTCCAGGCGGTATCTGTTTTAAAAAGGGTAGACTTGGGTAAAACGCATATGATCGGAGATTTTTGCTTTAACGGCTTCTAAACAACATAAGAAATGATAATTTTTCTATGCAAATAAAAAAAAACGTGGGCTTAATTGTTATTGCAAAAAAGTATAAAAAAATAGCAAAAA